CTATCCTGCATGGCAAGTGCTCTCGTCTGATGAAGCTGCAGTTGTGTTTTAAATTCATTGAATTCCTCCAGGTTTTCTTTATTTGCTTCCATTTGATTATTAAGGAAGTCGCATGTATGACAAGTATCACTCTTGGGCAACTTACATCCTATATTGTAATCAGAACAGAATATTCGTCTATACCGATCTTCTTTTACTGGTGCTATTCCACGTTCTTTGCACCACTCAACATAATAGTCCTTGTAGAGAGTAGATATGTTGAGGTCGTGGTTTATAAAAACTCTATCTGGATTAACTTTCCGACTGTAATGGCTCACATATTTCGGAATGGCTTTAATATGGTCATGAACAGACTGAACTCTTTCTGCAGAAATTTTGTTGGGTCTGTTTTGATGTTTGCCCCTACCGTCCCTTTTCGGAGTTGTCCTGCCTTCAACAATTTGCTGAGCGATAAGTTTTAATCGCTTACTGGAGTTTTGAAGTCCATGGACCGATAAAAATTCAGTCTTACATATTTGGATGTCAACTCCATTTACTTTGACAAAATATTGGTTTGTTACTCGTCGAGCCGATTCCGCGCGTTTAGTTTTTTTTTGTAGCTTCTCTTTTTAGGTATAACCTTCACAGTAGAAAATAGATATGTATTCTGTTCGTCATACGAGTTCAAGTCCCAAAATGCTTGGAATATAGTAGAAGCAGTTTCTTGGAGCAGTTGTCTGCAGTTCTTTTTGCACTGACATGGTGGACCTAATACTTTAGACTCTCGTTGTCGACCTTTGAAATCTATGTAACTGTGGCCAAGATTTCTGCGTGTTTTCGATTTCACTCTTGCTCTGCCTTCAATATTACGTTTTCTCCATCTCGATTTATTTGGTTTTTCTGGAGTAAACATCTTGCCTCTGCTTACAGCAACCTAAAAGCCATTTTATTGTTACAAAAAAACATCATTTGACGAATGCCTATTTCAGTTGATTATCATAATAATAACTAAAATTATTTGTGACAGTAAATCTCAGTTCTATTTTGCAACAGTTATCGCTATTCCCGGATACTGAAAAACGTCACAAGACACAGACATCAATTTAGTTGGCGAAGAAGGGCATAAGCCACTTGCACAAAATTACATATTTTTATCATGTGTTCAGGAGTTATTTGCTGTTAAAAATGGCCTCTGTAAATTAGGATTACGATATACTCTGAGGAATGATTAGTCTGAAATCATAATCTAGTAATACTGCAGAAGTAATATTAAAAAATTGCACTCCTATGTGAAAAAAGCATAAGCCACATCTATAACGGCATTAAGGTCACAAGCCACAAGTTTATTTATTCACCTGAGTTTCTCGTTCGGAGTCACTGTCAGAACTGCTGCTAGTCGGATTATAGTCTCTGTCCTTTACACTATCATCTGATCCAAATTCAGAACCATCTTCGCTCTCCGAATCACTAAAACATCCATTATTTTCACCCGCGAACAATTTCCGCTTGGCGTCCATCTTGAAATGTATGTGGCTTATGTCCTTTTCGGCGTAAAAATTTGTAGACTAAACCAATCTGTCAAAAACGCTCTTCATGGATTATAGCGACATCTACCAGCGGATCATCAAACAAATCAACTTCAGACATAGATACCTACTCAACGAGTTCGCTCGTATGGAAATCTAATTTTTCATCAAAATGTGGCTTAGGTCCCTTACTGCCCCAAGCCCTTCAATTCAACTCATTTTTTTCCCGAAATCTATCCAAGATGGCCCCTTTTTTTAGGGGACAGAAAATGAAGTGGCTAAATAAAACAGTTTGGAGTCAACGGTAAAGTTGTCAACTAATTTATGTAGGGGTGGGGATAGTTCTTAAAAGTCAAATATACAGTTGTATTCATAAAAAAAGCGTACACGAATTAGAATGAGAGGAAACCTTAACCTTATTTACGTAAAACCGGCTTATCGCATGTTAAAGGTTATTAAAAATGCAAAGCATGGGCGTCGGGCATTAGTTCAATACAGTAACAAAAATGTATTTCTTTATTTTACATCTTAACAGTTTTATAAAAATTACAATAGAAACAAAAAACGATTAACAAGAATAAATAAAATCTAATATTTGGTCATATATCCCTGTTTTTCTATTACTTGAGCCAGTCTATTCGGAATTGACTGAATTATATTTGATACAATATTTGGATCAAGCTCTTCCCAGCACGCATGTATTATTTCCCATAAATCTTCTGAATTTTGTGGCCTAAAATTTCGATTATATACTTTTTTTACGATTATACCCCAAATATTTTCGATTGGATTGATATCGGGACTATAAGCGACCCAAGGCAGCACTTCCACATTATGGGTTTGAAACCAGTGGGTTACAGCATTGGCCGTATGAACTGGACAATTATCTTGTTGAAATATGAACGTATTATTGGGATATATTTGCTCAGCACTTGGTAACAATATGTTTTCTAAAATGTTAATGTAATTTCCGGCATTAAATCTTCCCTCTATTCGCCAGCAAACACCAGGTCCATGAACACTTATCCAGCCCCATACATTTACAGAGAAACGCCCAGGTCTAGAATTGAGGGGGTTAGTATATCGCTCTTCAAACCTGGTATTGTTTGGACGGTAAACCCGAATTTGGCCGTTATAAGTCGACTGGAACGTCTTTTCATCAGTAAAAATGACCCTGTTCCAAAATTGAGGATTGCGGTATATATGATTTAAAGCAAAAATAATCCTTGATTGTCGCCGTTCTTCGTTAAGAAACATTTTTTTCGCAGCAGGGTGACATTTTAGTTCAGATTTCATTACTCTCCTGCTGGCGGTAGGTTGGGAGGCAAGAAATGCTGTATCAATAACAGCATCCCTTACAGTTGCAAATGGATTATTTCTTAAATATCCCAAAAAAGCAGCATCCTGTTCAGGGTTGGTAAGTTTGGGACGACCTGAACCAATTTTCCTCTTTAGGGAATCTTCCTGTTCGCAGCGTTGCTTAATTTTCAATATGGTTTTTTTATTTCTATTATACAACTGCGCTACAGCACGGATTGACCATCCTTCTTCGATTCTTGATACAATTTGAGCCTTTTCAACTTCAGACAACTGACGAGGCATTTTTATTTTCTTCTGACAAAGTTTATCAAACGTTACCACCACGCATTTTCGAAATGAATTACACAGACGACAATGCTTTGCATTTTTGACAATCTACGACGTGTGATAACCTCCAATAAACAATCATTTAGACAAGCCGGTTTTACGCAAATAAGGTTAAGGTTTCCTCTCATTCTAATTCGTGTACGCTTTTTTTATGAATCGAACTGTACTAAGTGACATATAAATCCGAACACCCAGTTTAAATGGTTTTATTTTAATAAAATTTTGTATAAGTACTTAATGAAGCATAATAAGTAAATGATAAAAATTTCAAAATGATTGCACTGCTTTAAAGCCCTTTGACCTTTAATAATAGGCCTAGGCATACTTCCGATCAGGTGCTCAATGTCCTCCTGTGGTATCTCATTCCAGGCAACCACCAACTCCTCTCGAAGTGCTTCTAGAGTCTGAAGAGGACGTTGCAAATTGAGCAATCTCCTACCCATCATATCCCACACGTGCTCAATTGGGGATAAGTCGAGAGATCTTGGTGGCCATGGTAACAATGTGACATCATTATGTTGAAAGAAGTCTATTGTGACTCTTGCAACATGTGGTCGGGCATTATCTTGTTGGAAAGTTGGATCTGCCAGGGTGTCAAGATAGGGTAAAAGATGGGATTCTAGAGCTTCGTGGATATAACGCTGCGCGTTCATGTTACCTCTGATGAAGATTAAAGGTGACCTGGAACCATAAGCTATAGCACCCCAAACCATAACTCCAACAGTGTGATGAACATGTCTTTCAACAAAAAACTGTGGATTCCTCCTTTCACCACGTCGCCTTCTAACCCTGGCACGACCATCGTGCATTCCTAAACAAAATCGAGACTCGTCACTAAAGACAATACTGTTCCATTCCTGATCCCAGAGTGACCGTTGTCTGCACCACTCAAGGCGATTACGTCGGTGTTCTCGAGTTAAAGGGATGACCCAGTGTGGCCGGTATGAAAACAAGCCAAAACTTCTCATTCGTCGGTAAACACTTCGCATGCCAATAGGTCTTCCGTGCTCTGCAAACCATTCATTTGCAATGGGCCTGGTAGTGGAGAAACGGTCCCTTAAGGCCAATAATCTTAGGCGGCGATCTTCACGGTCTGCTGTTCTACGGCGGCGTCCAGTGCCCCTTGCTCTTTGCGTACGGCCTTCTCGAAGCCATGCCTGACAACACCTAACCACAGTGTCTACACTTCTTTGCACTCTAGTGTAAAGTCCAGCTTCCCGAAGTCCCACTATACGGCCCCTATCAAACTCACTAAGTTGACGAAATCGTACAGGTCTCCGTACTCTAGGCATCGTAACCGATCGTAAAGGATGTCAAGAACCAAAATCCGCCAACGTTGATTCTTTACTGCGGCTGAAATATTCATTTTTAGAGCGTTAGTGAATTAAAAAAAAGCAGTATAAAAACCGGAATGTCCAACTGGTAAGGCTGAAAATTTTTTCACTTGTTATTTACAGTAAGATAAATACATTCACCAACTTTTATTAAAATAAAACCATTTAAACTGGATGTTCGGATTTATATGTCACTTAGTATATTAGAATATCTAGCAAAACACATGTGTTCAAAATTTTATTCAAATCTGACTGTCGGTTCTTAAAATATCAAACGGGTTTTAGAAAGAAGACTTTGACCCGCTGTAACGGACAAACGTACTTCTATGTACACCGAATATTGGGACACCCTATAGATATTCCGTCAAAATATAAATTTTACGTGCGTTGAAACGGTGATAGCTTTTTTAGATAGGAAGATCCTGATCTTTTGCAATGATATCTGAGGGCGTCTTTGTTTGAGTAAAAACCTAGAACTCGCAAAAGAATTAAAAAAAAAATTGTATCATTGTAGGTATATCAGAAGAAGACGAGGAAGGAGATGGTGAAAGCGGAGGTGTATATAAGCAGAGATACGAAAGGGCAGTAAAAGAGCTAGAATTTACAAGGCGAAGACTGCAACAACAACATGAAGATGACCTGGAACAGCTCGTTGGATTGAAGAAGCAGCTGGAGAAAAAGGTATACATTCATTAGTTTCATGATTCTAAGCTTTCACTACTTAAGCACTCCGAGACGCGTTCGAATCCCGGTTAGAAAGAGTGTCATTATTACTTCCCACGCCTTTTCAAAACCTAGATAGTATGTTTTTTTTTGATGATGAAAAGCATGTCCCTCATTTCGGTCGGTTTGTCTGTTTGTCGATATAATTTTTACACAATATTAATACTATGCCAAGGACGCAGGTACTTGGCAATTTTTTTAAATCGGTCCAGTGGCGCCGGAGAAAGAGGAAAAGTTAAAATCACTCAAACTTCGGTTTTTGCGTTTATCGTAAGTATTTTCGGTAAAATTTTTGTAAAACTTAAAAATTGGGGGCTAGGGGTTGCAGGGGGTGAGGGAGGGCTTTATCTCAATTATTTGACGTTGGTATATTTACACGACTCGAACCCCAGTAATTCTACGCGCATATTTCATTTCATCGTGTACGTCCCCGTACATTTACCCTTAAAACTTGGAAATATCTCCAGCAGTCGGATATCGATTCGTACGACGTGGTCCCTCGATGGACAAGCGTCGTTGTCGGTGGTCGTGCGTCACACTCGGCAATCGCTTCCGCACTGCTGTGTGCACTGTGCATGCAAACTCGTCATTCACGCGTCATTTATTTTTTTGTTTTACATGCAATTACTAATTAGGTTAAAATTGATTACTATAAAATATTTTTAACATAGGATTCACTACTGCAACTAGCAAGATCAGACTTTGACACTTTTTTAGATAAAATACCCAATAGCTCAACAACTAATAATCAAAATCCATAAGTATGTTATATCAGCCTCCTTCTATTACAGTGGTCCATCCGAATATGTATTAAAAAAGTCAATTTTGATATGTGGGTCAAAATTTGGAAACCCTGTACATATTGTGAATATTTTATAAACTTGCCTTCAGGTACCATATACAGGGTGTCCCAGAAGTCGACTTCAAGCCGAAACCGGGTGATAGGCAAAGTCATAACAGCTATCAGAAAAATATTTAAAAAAATGTTATGTATGTGTTTTGAAAATTATAGGTCTTTGAAAAAAATATAGAAATTTCACACCCTACGGCAGTCTGTCAACTCCTGTTACTACAAATATTAACTTTTTTTGGATTTTATTTTTACAATGTAATGATGAATAATGCATCTTCAAACTGGTGTCTCAACCTTACTGCCAACTTTTCTCGTTCAGGAAAAATTGCCACTTATTTCCCAACCAAGTATTCCAAAGTAAAACTTTGCTCAACTTTAACTGGCTGTACTGGAAAAAAATGTACTACGAGAGTTTGGCAAGTAACCTTAAAAGTTGGCGCATTTAATAAGGATTCCAAAATGGTATAACACTTAGAAGATTACTCGTTAACTTATGCACAATTTTTATTTGAAGAAAAACTGATGAAAATTTTTAAAAATTTCTTAATTAAACAGCGATTATGAAAACGCACAAGGACCCTTAAGGATAACTGTTTGCACAACAGTGGGTGTCAAAATGCTGCTGATGATGATTTACCTTTACAGCAAATGCTCAAACTGTTTTCCTTCAGCCGCAATACACGCTCGACATCTTCTTAAAAAAGATCGGGTTATTAAACGAGCGAATCCACGGTTATTAACAAACTCAGCTGCTTCCAATAGTCTTTGCCGTAGCTCAGCTACATTTTGAATCGGCTTGAAATACACTTTTTCTTTTACAGTTCCCCAGTAAAAAAAATCTAACGGATTCAAATCTGGTGACCGGGCTGGCCACGGTATTGTACCAGACCGCCCTATCCATCTGCCTGGAAAGTTTTGATCGAGATACTCTCTCACTGAGAGTGCATAGTGCGCTGGGCAGCCATCATGCTGAAACCACATGTCCCTGTAAATACTCAGTGGCACGTCCTCCAATAAATTTTCTAAATGATTTTGCAAAAAACCTAAATAAACCTCAGCAGTCAAAGTCTCTGGGAACTCAAACGGACCGATTATTTTACCATTTAAAATTCCTGTCCAATGGTTTATCTTGAAGCGATATTGAGATTTATCTTCTCTCATCAAATGTGGGTTTGCTACGTGCCACTCGTGTAAGTTATGCAGGTTCATGTACCCATCTTTCTTAAATGTGGTCTTATCTGACCATACAATTTTTTCAAAGAACCGTGGATCTTCCCTGTGTCTTTCTAACGTTGTGCGACAAAAAGCAACTCGGGGCTCATAATCCCAGGGCAGAAGAGCTTGAACACGCTGTACGTGGTATGGATGGCCAGCCCGGTCACCAGATTTGAATCCGTTAGATTTTTTTTACTGGGGAACTGTAAAAGAAAAAGTGTATTTCAAGCCGATTCAAAATGTAGCTGAGCTACGGCAAAGACTATTGGAAGCAGCTGAGTTTGTTAATAACCGTGGATTCGCTCGTTTAATAACCCGATCTTTTTTAAGAAGATGTCGAGCGTGTATTGCGGCTGAAGGAAAACAGTTTGAGCATTTGCTGTAAAGGTAAATCATCATCAGCAGCATTTTGACACCCACTGTTGTGCAAACAGTTATCCTTAAGGGTCCTTGTGCGTTTTCATAATCGCTGTTTAATTAAGAAATTTTTAAAAATTTTCATCAGTTTTTCTTCAAATAAAAATTGTGCATAAGTTAACGAGTAATCTTCTAAGTGTTATACCATTTTGGAATCGTTATTAAATGCGCCAACTTTTAAGGTTACTTGCCAAACTCTCCTAGTACATTTTTTTCCAGTACAGCCAGTTAAAGTTGAGCAAAGTTTTACTTTGGAATACTTGGTTGGGAAATAAGTGGCAATTTTTCCTGAACGAGAAAAGTTGGCAGTAAGGTTGAGACACCTGCATTATTCATCATTACATTGTAAAAATAAAATCCAAAAAAGTTAATATTTGTAGTAACAGGAGTTGACAGACTGCCGTAGGGTGTGAAATTTCTTTATTTTTTTCAAAGACCTATAATTTTCAAAACACATACATAAAATTTTTTTAAATATTTTTCTGATAGCTGTTATGACTTTGCCTATCGCCCGGTTTCGGCTTGACGTCGACTTCTGAGACACCCTGTATAATATTTCATAAATAGTTTTTTTAATAGTTTTTGTTCAGGAGCAATACTTTGTTCTCCCACGATTGGGATTACAGGATAAGATGTTATATCTCAAATTGCTGGCATTAGCTGAAAGATTAATCTTGGTGATAGCTCGGGATAACCAATTATATTTTTTAATAATTTAAAAATGAAGCACATGTCCAAAACGTTCTCCTATCTTCAAGCAAAAGCAATCCAGTAATTCTCCTCATGGACTCGATCTCTAGATGTGCATCTCCCTTCCCACACCAAATGCTTGTCCCATGTTCCAACAACGATACCGATGAAACCAAAAGCTTGACCCCACAATTCAAGCCTATAAGATCTCTATATTCGTAATATTAGCCATAAGTTGCGAAGCATCTCACAGCCCTGACTGGATCTAACACATCGAACAAGTTTCAAATCATCAGAATAAAGTAAATAATCTGATTTTGCATTCTTCCCCAGCTACTTCTGGCATACTGAGTTAAATAAGAATTACTGCGAAACTAACGTATGTTTCGGCTCCAAAGCAATCAACCATCGGCATATGCGTACATGTGAAGAAATTAAAAGACTAATAACAAACTTCCTCAACAAATAAACAATTCGCATTCGAGAGCAACGTTTTATCTAATTTTAATTCCGTTCACGAATTTGTGTGAATTTCGATTTGCGGCCAACTTCTCTGCGGTTCAGTTGGTGGCCTCTTTTACTGGCAAAAACTACTGAAACAGTTTCGCGACTGGTTTGAGACACGTGGAATTTGTAGACTCATTGAAAATGATGTTAAAGGCGCACTTATGTGTTTTAAGGGTAAGCTTTGTAGATTAGCTGTCCAAAATAAACTATAGATTTAGGCCAACTGAATTACGCTTTCATACAATATTTATTAAACGCGATGTCAGGTCGATAAGTTTCTAAAAAGAATACACATTTTAGAAGAACCGTGATTCTGTTATTTTTGGTTCGCTAAAAACGTAGAGTATAGAAATATTCAGACATATCCAAAAAATCTATGATTTTTTTTTATTCTAGCTGGCGGATGCGTATGAAGAAGTGGAAGAACAAAGACAAGTCGTCGGGCAGTGGAAAAGAAAAGTGCAAAAGCTGAATGGAGAAATGAACGATCTACGGCTACTTCTAGAAGAACAAAATGGTAGAAATAACTTGTTGGAGAAGAAGCAGAGAAAGTTTGATTCTGAAACGCAGATGCTGCAGGACGAGCTGAAAAAGGAAAGACAAGTGAAGGAGCGGCTGGCTAGAGAAAAGGAAGTTTGTATAGCGGAGAAGTACCAAGTTGAGACTGCACTTTCGGTAAGCAATTCATAGCAAAAAGAAAATGTTTAAAGATGCTTTTAGTTCTTCTCAAACTGTTTTGAGTAGGCCAGTGAATTGGAATGATACTGTAACGATAACACCGTTTTTACTGTTCTAAGTCTAACACTAATTTATCATTTGCAACTAACATATATACGAATAAATCATTGAATGCGATGAAGGAAAGACATTTTTTAACAAACTTTCAGCTGGATTTACAAATAAATATTCTACAGAAACAGCCATCCAAATGGTCGTTGAAGACTGGAGAAGAAGTATAGATGAGGAAGAATGTTCTGTAACAGTATTTTTGATTTGAAAAGGCCATTTGAGACTATAGATAGGGGAACATTAAACATTTTACAAAATTATTTAGTAAACAAAAGTTAAAAAACTAAAATTGGAAATCAAAAGTTCAAAATATATCAATAGGGGTGCCACAGGAGGGTTAATTAGTTAATATATATATAGGTGAAAAATTAAAGCTTCCGCCTTTTGTTGGGTACTTCGACAAAATTTAAGCAAAGAGGACTCTTTATACTTTTTTTAATTCTCTCTAGCTTTCAATGGACTTTGCCATCATCATCAGGAGCTGCAATTACAATGATAACAGTAGCAACAAAAGCGTAAAATGAATTTAAATCGAATCAACTTACAGTAGTGTGAGGATGTTGCTAATTGTTGTTTTCGTGTAGGATGAGGGAAACGTCCAGTAACATGGTGAGATCTGGATACATGGTACAATGGTCAAAATTATATAAAATATGACAAGACAAGTTAAAAACAGATTAAAAATTATTTAAAAAACATTACAGCATTACGTCGTGAAGCCACTTGATGATTGCACAAAATGGTGGTCATGGAATAATGAGTGAGATGAACCTTTGACAGAAGGCCGAAGGTTGTCAATGTCTGTGTTGAAAGATGGAACGAATTGTGGGCGTGTGCCAAAACGTTGCCAAATCACTTCAGATGATGTGATTTTCAGAATGTTATGTAAGAAATTGTTAAACCGACCAGAGGCAGTTGAATAAACTATATTTTAATTAATGGGAATTTTAAATTAACAATTATTAATAAATCGTGAGAAGAGAATTATTAGATTTTGAGTGGAATGAAATTTGTTGGTGGAATCGACCAAAAACACAGATTATATTTATGGTTGTGAAAAGTCAAAATTTGGGGAGATATGTAAGTTCTCCAATTTTTCGCAGTTTAGCAAATATGAGTAAATGACACTCAGTTTGTTTAATATCTGTCTTTTTGTTGATACAGTTGTTATTCATGAAAATGTGGGACATTTCCAGGAATAAACGTTTGGAAAGGTGTTTTTCTTTATCAAGAACTTTGATACTTGTGTAATTCATAGAATGCCCTGTTGTGTTAACATGAGATGCTAGAGCGCATAATATATAATCTGTGTTTTGGCCGATTCCACCAACAAATTTCATTCCACTCAAAATCTAATAATTCTCTTCTCACGATTTATTAATAATTGTTAATTTAAAATTCCCATTAATTAAAATATAGTTTATTCAACTACCTCTGGTCGGTTTAACAATTTCTTACATAACATTCTGAAAATCACATCATCTGAAGTAATTTGGCAACGTTTTGGCACACGCCCACAATTCGTTCCATCTTTCAACACAGACATTGACAACCTTCGGCCTTGTGTCAAAGGTTCATCTCACTCATTATTCCATGACCACCATTTTGTGCAATCATCAAGTGGATTCACGACGTAATGCTCTAATGTTTTCTAAATAATTTTTAATCTGTCTTTAACTTGTCTTGTCATATTTTATATAATTTTAACCATTGTACCATGTATCCAGCTCTCACCATGTTACTGGACGTTTCCCTCATCCTATACGAAAACAACAATTAGCAACATCCTCACATACTACTGTAAGTTGATTCAATTTAAATTCATTTTACACTTTTGTTGCTACTGTTATCATTGTAATTGCAGCTCCTGATGATGATGGCAAAAGTCCATTGAAAGCTAGAGAGAATTAAAAAAAGTATAAAGAGTCCTCTTTGCTTAAATTTTGTCGAAGTACCCAACAAAAGGCGGAAGCTTTAATTTTTCACCTAACTGGTCTAGACGACAATGACCACGTCTCAAGTTATATATATATACGAGGGATGTCTTTTAAGTTTTGCATATAGAAACATGGTAGGCCACGCAGATCGAACGTCAGTACTGAATCTTAACCTCACTCTTTAGTAAAATAAATTCAATGTTTCACAACAATCACTTCAGTGAATTTTTAGGTGTCACCGAGTCATTAGAAAAATGGAACTCGACCGAGAACATTTTCGCACCATAATTTATTACAACTTTCAGAGACAATTATCGTAACAAGAATGTCTTGCTTAGTTACAGTCATTATGAATGCGTTATTTCAAAAATAACTAAAAAGATAAATTACTTCTATAGAGTTTTCCATAATCATAGTATGTATTCCAAAAAAAAATGTATAACACCATAATTCTTCCCCGTTTTTTGATTGTTTAGCATATTTTCAAAATTACACATTCTACAAAATCTATGAGAATCATTTTGAATAAAAACAAATATGCTAAGACGAAATTCTATGTTACAAGAACTGCAGTTGTTGAATGTAAAAAAATATATGTTATTTACTTCTAATTTTCATATTCGAATTAAAAAATCAAGTATTACCACCACATTTAAAAGACTTCACGAAATTAAGTAGTCGTTGTCATAACTACGAAACTAGAGGCAGTATAGATTTTCATCTGCAAAATTGTAATAGTCGGATAACTAGCAAATATGTATTTTAAAAGAGGAGTATTTAAATTTAATAAATTGGATAACAATATGTTTTCGAATTTAAAAATGTTGAAATTTGATAACCTCTTTTTGAACACCCAAAATACACAGCGATGTAATTTTAATATACAAGAACGTAAAATTACAGAAAATTGATTAAAAAATGTGTAAAAAGCAATTATACAAAATTTGACATTGTAGCATTAACGCTAATTAAATCTTCAACAAACAAAACAAAATTAATGATACATTTATAACCATGTCGACTGTGACTCACTGGACGATGTCCTTTGACTGTCCTTCCACCGTCTCTGCCATATTTCTTCTCCTGTCGACGAATCGAGAACTACTCCAGCGTTTTCCAGACTGGGTTGCAAATCTTCATAGAATTGGTCTAGATGGCAGTAGATTCATCTCCATGACAGCAAATGCTCTCGAACGTGAACTCGATCGCCCGCGATGCACGGTCGCATAATTGGTTGCCTAGGCGTCGATGTTTATGGATACCTGTCGTACCTTCCGGTCCGTGTACGAGTGTACCTATAGTTCCAGTTCCAGGGAGTTACAGTACTTTATAGCCTAGATGATATAGTTACAGTTGCTAGTTACTTTCTACTATCATCACGATCGAATTTTCTTTCCAGGACACCAGGCTCGAACTGGAACTAAAAGAAGAGAAACTGCTCGCCCTTCAAAGGGAGTTCGACGAAGTCACGTGCGGCGGCAAGACGGAAGAAGAAGTTACCGTACTTCGCAAACAAAAAATCGACCTGGAGCGAAGGATGAAAGATCAAGAAGAAGAACTGGACGAACTGGCTGGTCAGGTGCAGTTGTTAGAGCAGGCCAAACTCAGGTTAGAGATGAATTTGGAGCAGATGCGCAAAGAGTCCAAGAAAGAAGCTAGTGCCAGAGATGAGGAGTTGGAAGATGTTAGGTGTAATGCTCAGAAAAAGGTTAAAGGTGAGATATGTTTTTCAGCAAGAATTGTTGTTCTGTTACGTGATCTGAGTTGCTCCAAAAGTAACTTGAATAGTCTAGAAATCTCAGAGTATTTGCAACTGGCAGAATGTCCATCAGTAGATCAGGTTCCGACCATTATGGAGACTGCAGAAATACTTCTTAGAATGGTGTGAAGTGATTTCGATTTTCCTCAATCACCATGATTTTTGATATTCAAAGTCCTGTAAGCTAGGACTCCCTTTTTCTGCTGTAATAGAGGAATTAAGCTAATGTGCCATAAAGCAGCAGAGAAAAAATTTTAAAAAATGGAGATAAGTATTTTATTGTTCATTTGATGAGAAATTTAATTATATGGGGTTGTCCAAAACGGACGCAGAAGGATTGATATTCAAATCAAGTTGGATACTTTATTTTGAAGTTTCATTTATACCATTTATGTATGAAAAATAATATCGCTCAAATGTTCACCACTACTGGATTTACAGACGTCCACGCGATGGTCGAAATTTTCAATGACATTTTGCAACATGGTCGGTTCTAGGGCATTTATCTCGGCAATAATGTTGTTTTTGAGTTCTTGGAGGGTGGCTGGTTTGTTGACGTAGACTTTGCTTTTCAAATATCCCCATAAAAAGAAGTCCAAGGGAGTAAAATCGCACGATCTTGGTGGCCATGGCACATTTCCTCTGCGCGAAATCAAGCGATCACCGAAGAAGGACTGCAATCGATGGATATTGACGTTGGTTGGGAGTTTTGCTTGTTTACCGTCCCATTCAAAGTGAAATGCGCTTCGTCGCTGAACATGATTTTTGATGAAAAATTGGCATCAATTTGGCGGTGTTCAAGGAGCCAATCTGAGAACGTTCGGCGCGAAAAATGGTCGGCCCAACGCAGCTCTTGCGTCAATTGGATCTTGTAGGCGTGTACATTCAAATCTTCAAATCCTTGTGGAGAATGCGGAGCAAACTGGTTCTCGAAATGCTCAATTCTTGGGATCGACGCGTTGTTGGTTGTTTCGGATCGTCTCTCACACTCTCCTTCACAACAGCAATATTTTCCGGTGTGCGAATTTGCCACAGAACCTGTTGCTTCGAATTACGCACCAGACGACCGATGGTTGTTTCGTTTTGGCGGTTGTTGCGACCGAAATGTTCACGAAGCGCGCGAAACGTGTTTTTTATTTTTGCACCATTTTTGTAGTGCTCTTGAATAACTTTAATGCGGTCTTCAATCGAATTCGACTCCATAGCGATCAATGGTAAACATTCAACTAACAAAATGACATGTCGGTGACAGAAAACAAAGATGGCGTCTATGTCAAATTGACGTTTACTTTCCTGCGTCCCTATTGGACAACCCTTTACATACAGCTTGCTGGTGGTGCAGTTGAATACTGACAACATTCTATAGTCCATCATTGAAAGTAACTCAAAAACATGTAAAAAATCTTTAAAAAAACACTAGCTAATTAGCTCTCCTAGCTCATATATTTGATAATTTGCATTTTTCGAACAGCTCTGGAACAACAGCTAGAAAATGAACACGAAGAAAGAACACTTTTACTCAGGGAAAAGCATGAGCTTGAACGACGCTTAGCTGCAGCTGCAGAATCTGAAAGACAGGACAGAGCTGGCGATGAAGCGTTGCTTCACAGGTTGAAGAAGGATGTCAAGAGAACAAAAGCTCTGCTGAGAGACACTCAAGCGCAACTTGAACGGCAGAAGGCTGAAACTCCAGGTAAGATTTATGCTTTTAAAAAATAATGCAGTTTTAGATAATACGAAAAATTTATTCATACGGCTAAATAGAGACATTCAGTATTCACTATAATCAATGGTGAAAATCGTAATCACTACTTGTCTTGGTGATAAAGTTGGAAATAAGTCTGGAGGGTGTATCACAGACATGATACCAGCAAGACTAAACTCTGGGCGCTGAAGAAAGACATTAAACGTAAACAGTGATCAGCACGTGAACAGATCCCTCGAAAGCATCCACGGATATACTCCAGTCACTTTAGGTCTAAACATCCTCGACAGTGTATTTCTAGTGAATCCACAGACCCTTTTTCGTGTCATCTTGAGACTAGAAAAAGGATGACTGTTAAAATAAGTTACCTTGATCTTTCATGAGCTCCCAGTACAAAACATCATCGATATATTTTTGATGTAGGAACAACAAATTGGTTTAGAAAACATCCACTTTGAACCTAAATTGACTGGAGTAACATCGATCTACAGACAAATTCAAGGTCACTAGCAGTCGTCGGCGCTCTACGAATCTGCACAGGTTTGGACTTGTAAACGTGATTGTAGATGACACGACAGGCATCTAACAGTTAATTCACGCACAGGATTGCATTGCATACGCATTACGCATTCAGTAGCGTATACTCGTTTTTCGCGAGTGGAACGTTTTGTTTATATATTGCCTAAGATACGATGTCTGACACAGATACAGCCGACGAAGTGGTTGACATCAGCGCAACCCCACCCAAAAAAAGGGCTAAGAAGCTACATTTAAGTGCAAATGAAAAACAAATAATATTAAATATATACAAAAACCAAATTCAAGAAAAACCCGATTTGGTCGTGGACGAAGTTATATGTAAGGTAGCACATATTTCTGGAGTATGTCGGTCCAGTGTTTATAGGATCATTAAGGAATATAGGAGCACTCACTCACTTTCTGAGCCAAAACCGTATCCTGCAAGAAAAAGAATAACGGACGGAGTAGATGACTTTGACAGAACTGCCATCAGGAGGAAAGTGCATAATTTTTTCTTCCGAAATGAGATACCTACAGTAGATAAGATATTAAGATTAGTTAATGCTGATGAGGATCTTCCATCATTTAAAAGAACCACATTCCGAAAACTTTTGAAGGAACTTAATTTTCGATTCTTGAAACGGGGAAGAAACAGTATGTTAATAGAGAAAGAAGAAATTGTTGTGTGGAGAAGGGAATACCTTAGGAAGATTCGGAAGTTTCGCGATGAAAAAAGAAAAATTTACTATTTGGACGAAACGTGGGTGAATGCTGGACATACTCAAGCGAAAGTTTGGGTCGACAAATCAGTAACATCATCAAGGCAGGCTTTTCTAGACGGTCTTTCGGCTGGATTGAAAAATCCTGCAGGTAAGCTCCTTCATCTATCCGGCAATTTAATTTTGATAAATTCGGGCAAATATGCTGTGATAGCAGATAATGTGTGATATTCTCCAAAAATGGTGCATTCGCAGTGTAGTCATCAGGAAAAAAACTTCGACCCTCTTTTAAGCGTTATTTTGAAATTTATTATCATTTTTGGGTGCAGTCAATTTGCTTTGAATGGGTTTTGAGAAGTTGCAAACTTCAATTTTCTACGTTTTTCAGTTTTTGATCAGCATTCCATGACTCTTAAATTCAGCTAAATGAACTCAATTGCCTCATTCCTTCAAATTTAATCAATCCATAGTGTAAGGAATAATTTATTTCCAGGAAAAGGCAAACGGCTGATCATTTGTCACGTAGGTAGTGAAGACGGCTTTGTTCCCGAAGCACTGTGGGCCTTTGAATAAAAAAAGACAGGGGACTATCATGAGGAGATGGACGGCAATTCCTTTGAAAATTGGTTCTCCAAAATGTTACTAAAGCTGGAGAATAACGCTATTATTGTACTGGATAATGCCCCGTACCATTCTAGAAAAATAGAAAAAATTCCCACAATGGCAACTAAAAAAGCAAACATACAACAATGGCTGGCCTCAAAACAGATTTTGATGAAACAATGGTCAAGGGTGAATTGATAAGTATAGTCAATAGACATAAATGCAAATACGATTTTAAAATGATCGACGAAATGGCCAAAAAACAAAATAAAACTGTCTTGAGACTGCCACCCTACCATTGTGAGCTGAACCCTATTGAGCTGATTTGGGCCAACATAAAGCAATACGTGGCGTCGAATAATAATACTTATAAATTTTCTGATGTTAAAAATCTCTTTCACATCGCAGTCAATAGAGTTACGGCAGAGGAATGGAAAAACTGTATCCGCCACGTTCGGGAGAAGGTTGAGGTCAAAATGTGGGATTTGGACAATGTCATCGATACCCAAATTGAACCTCTAATAATTCATTTAAACGATTCAGAAGATTCAAGTTCCTCTTCTGAATGAGTGCGCGCAGCTTACTTACTAATAACTAAAAAGTGTAGTTAACTCATTTGTGAATCTCTAACTGAAATTTACTGTAAAAGATAATAATTATCTTGTATGAAATTTTTGATGACTACCCATAATATCTTGATGCGGTCCTGTAATGTCTCCTGCGCCTAAACACTCACTCACGAGCAATATGCGTGTATTTGTTTGGGTTTAGTTTCTTTCTTCAGCGCCTAGAGTATAGGAAGCTTATTTTGACCTAAAATATTATTAGCATCAAATTAATTTAATTAAAATGTTTCTCCACAAACACTGCGCTATTGAAAGCAGGTAACTAGCTAATCGTTTCATTGCAGGTAAGGCAATGATCCGCCAGTTACGCAACCAAGTGGAAGACCTGGAATGCGCCAGAGCTGCCGCAGTTAAAGCCAAGCAGAGCCTGGAAAACGAACTCTTAGAAACCCAATCGATGCTTGAGGAAGCGAACAGGCAAAAACAAGAAGCTGAAGAACGGGTCAACCTTCTGCTACGAGAAAAAGCCGATCTGCAAACACAGTTGGAAGAAAACGAAGAAGAGCTAGCAGAAGTGCTGAAGAAATTCAAAGGAACTGTCCAGCAGATGTCGCTGGACCAGATGGCGTTGCAGGAGCAGGTGTCGTTGGTGTCTGAGCTGGAGATCGAAAGGAATCACTTGAAGGAGCAGCTTGCTGAGTTAACGTCTAAGTTGGAGTCAGCTGAAAGTATGGGCGATGCTTCGTCTAACTTGCTTGTCAAAAGGTATGTTGGATCCAATTTGAAATTATTGAGTCTTAATTAATCATGTCAAGACAACATTCCAGCCACGCGTTGACGTTATCTACAATTTTTCTGAAATTATTACCGTTAGATTCACCTTGACTCGAAAAATTGTATCTCAATCCTGGTCCTTGATTCAGGGAATAAAATTTAGACACAGTTCTTTGACTACATGAGAAAATCAAAGATGAATGAAGCATGCTCAATCTAGTCGTAATGATATCCCTATTTGACTCTGCACTTCCTACGCAACGCCATCTGTTTATAAAGGATTAATTTCAGCACAAGTTAAACCCTCTGAGAATAAAATAGTTACGAATATGTATAATAGAGAAATCAGTGAAACAGACCCATCCATTTAGTCCATAGATATTTTCCTGCCCTGCCGGTAGTTACCGTCCATCTGGCGACGTTGCCTCTCCACATATCGTCAGACGCGTTAGCATCCGCCGAAGCACCACCGCAGTACGAGCAAAACAATCAAGCAGTCCGTTGCGGTGAGCGTTAAACCCAGATAGCAGAAGGAGACGCGTATCGAAAGCATTTCTCTATTGTTATAAGTTTTAAAAACAAATCTATGTTGAAACCTATGATGCGGCTAATCGGTGCGTAGAATTACCGGCGTTGGGAGCGTATAAGTATAGCCCCTAAAACTCCCCGCCCCCTCATTTTACCCCTAAATATTTTTTCATAAATAATGAAACGTCCAAAAACGATGTTTGAGCGATTTCAATTTTTTTTGTTTCTGGCCTTTTTTCCGGTACTACTGGACCAATTTTTAAAAACTACAAAGGTTTTTCGTTCTTGGCGTAGAAGTAGTAGTCTCGTGTGAAAATTTCATCCAAATCCGAGCAGTACTTTCCAAGTTATAGAGGGGCTAAGGATTATCGGACCGACCGACAGATAGACATGCCAACGGAAATGAGTGACATGATTTTTCATTATGTACATGTCATATAACTTCCAAAAAACATAATACCTCGGTTTATAAATTGTTTGCGATTGCAGTACTTGTTCACCCAGTGACTTAGGAAGTAAAACTGCAAAACCTGATCTTTTTCTAGTTTAATTTAGATTATAATAATAATAATTGTCTTTAATAGGGGCGATTATTATCAGTATTATTATGATTTAATTTTAATTTTTACCGTCTCGTTTAAAAAATTAAATTAAATAATTAAAATAATAATAATCGCCTCTAATAAAGATTATTATTAGTATAATTTAATTTCAATTTTTAAACGAGGCAAAAAGGACATTTTGCCAATAACCTATTTTTCACGCCATTTTTCCAACATGTCGCCTAGAGCAAAATCTAAATTATATCGACTTTTCAAACTTTTTGAGCACTAGCAATGAATGTAGTAATCCCTGTAATCTCCTTGACTTTTCTTGTATTTGGGAAAACAGGAAGTTTTACTAATTTATAAAACTTGAGCCAAGAGCAAAGGTACTTTCGACTACTGTAATAGACAGTGACATATAAATGTTAAAAAACCTGAACTAGACAAACCGTTATTACGATTTTGAAAAATTTTAGGAAGTAGTAGTAGAAAGATTTATTTAGCAAATTTGGCTACATAAACAGAATAATTGTAAACAACTTAGAACTAGTAAATTCAAGCCATATGATGTAAATTTTGTCAAAGTTTTCTGGTCTTTTATTTCCGAGTATAATTTATTATATTCAATCAACCCTTGATGGAATACAGATTTGTAGCATATGATATACTTTTTGGTCATTAAATGGAAGTCATCTTTATTTCTGGTATTATGTAAATGATGGTCGACATTTGATGATGTTAAATTAGTTAGACTTGATGGAAATATATTATTTTTTACTTTATAAATGAATATCATTACAAGATATTTGATAAAAATTTTTACATTGAGCCATTTTAATTTGCTAAGCATTTGCCTAATTGGAGTATATTTATCTTTATTTAGTATTATTCTCATGCACTTATTTTGTAAAATTTGCAGTCTTTCAAAAATGGAATTATTTGCTAAATATAGAATAGTCGAACAGTACAAGAAATTTGGAAGAATGATGGTATTATAGATAATTTTTCTGCTATATGAACTCAGACATCCAGAAACTCTCGATACATATCCCACTTTACTACTAATCTTATTTATAACTTTTTTATAATGAATATCAAAAATTAATCGAGAGTCAACAAAAACCCCCAGGTATTTAAAATTTTCTACGAATTCAATATCTTCACCATCAATATTCAGTTGAACATTTATACATTGTTTTTTCCGATTAACAAGGCTTTCGTTTTACTTGCATTCAATTTTAGTCTGTTAGATGCTAACCATTTTGAGACAAGCTTCAAGTCTTCATTTATATAAGAAATACCAGACTGAATATTTTTAGTACTTATATAAATCATAGTGTCATCGGCGAAAATCTGAATTTTGCATTTTTTGACTATGGTAGGTAAATCATTTATGTATAAAATAAGTGGTCCCAGTATTTTCAATTTTTGATGAAATAGTGTTATTAACTTTTGTAACTTGCATCCTTTTAGACAAATAATTTCTAAACCAATCTAAAACACTTCCTGTTATACCATATGCCTTCAATTTACCTAACAAAATATCTCTATCAATCGTTTCAAATGCCCTCTTCAAATCCAAAAATACTGCTATGACGACTTCTTCTGAGTCTATGGCTCTTCTCCAATTCTCAGTTACCAACTGGAAAGCTGTTTCTGTGGAATATTTTTTTCGAAAGCCTGCTTGCGCCTCCACTAAAATTTTGTTTTCTTCTATAAACTGCATTAATTGGTCATGCACTATGGACTCTAATAATTTTTCAATGTCTGGTAACACATTTACTGGTCTCATATCGCTGCATCTTTTAGAATTTTTTATTTTGGGAACTGGTGTTATTGTAGAGCATTTCAAATTTTCAGGAAAAGAACTGCTTCTCAGTGAACAATTGATCCAATTTAATACAGGATATCCCAAAATTTCGAAACAGTTTTTCAGCACGTTTTTAGTAGTGATTTCGGCATAGTTGTTATTTGATTTTAAACTGTTTACTTTTTTTCTTAGATAATTCAATGATACGCTGTGAAATTTTGAAAGTGTATGCAACATTTCCCCTTGGAAACTGATTTTCATATAGTCAGGTGCAGCATTGATAGTACCCACAATATCAACAATACTTTCCACAAAATATTCATTTAGTTTGTTAGCAATCACCAAAGAATTTGTTTCGGTACCGTTTTCGAATTGAACTTGATTTACACAATCATGCGGCTTCGAATTGATCAGTCTTTTTAAAGTCTTCCACATCTTTACACTGTCGCACTTGTTATTATCGATTTGTTTATCGTAGAATTTCCTTTTTTCTTCTCTAATTACATATACACATTTATTCCTAAGAGTTTTATATACCTCCCAATCATCATTTGATTTTGTGAATATACATTTATTGTATTGTTTGTCTCTCAAATTTTGAGCTGCCTTAATATTCTTGTTATACCAGGGTGTATTTTTTGTCGAGCAAATCACTTTTTTATCAGTTGCAAGATCTAAACAAGTTTTTATATTTCCTATTATGTTGTCATATATTTTTTCCATATTCTCACCAAAATTCCAATAGCAGCCAGCAAGTTCTCGTTCAAGTTTTTCGTACTTAATAGTATTTGCGATTTTCTTAATTTTTGTATCAGAAAAATGCCCTACCAAGGGCAGCATTGTCGAACTGTGATCGCTAACTTTAGGTTTATGTACAGCTTTAATCCCTGCACATTCGAAATTAACAATAACAAGATCTAACAAAGTCACTGATAATGATGTTATTCTGGTACTCTCTTCAATTTTTTGCTTGAACCCATAGTTGTTTATGGTTTCTTTCAATTTTCTTGTTTTCATGCTTTTACCATAATAATTTAAATTGAAATCACCTAAAAGTATTATATTGTTTCTAAAATTCCACATCTCTTCGCATTTTTCTTCAAAAAACGTTAAAAATGTATCCGCATCACTGTTTGGTGAACGGTAAAAAGTACAAAGATCATAACGTTTCCCAAATAATTTGAACTGTATATGTGCATACCAGTATGCATAGTCTAAAGTGCTACAATCGAATAATGTGATCTGTATTTTGTGGTAAACATAAATCACTACATTTTTGGAAGCAAAATTAAACTTTTGTAATTTTTACTTGCATATTTTGTTTCAGGGAGCACAAAACAAATAATGATAAGGAATTAGCTGCTAAAAACTAGAACACTATTATTAGAATCATTAGAATAAGAGAAAGTATAAAATTAAAATATTTGATCATAGAGTTATGTAAATATAGTGAAGGTATTTACTTTTGTGACAATAATGTGTTCATCTGCAAGTTAATTTTTTTTTAACATCTGGGACATATTTAATACATATTTCTCCTATTCTTTGTTGTTTTTTAAGTGTCTTGTGTGCATTATAAAAATTATATGGATCATTACTTACTCACTAATGGACCATCATATATCAAGTATCTCATGGAGATAAAGTGTAATGATTTTTATCTCATTTATTGGTATAAAATGTTAGACTATAACACATATTGCTCATAAAACATCATCAATAATTTGAGTGTTCTTAACTACGTCTGTCTTTAGCATTCCTTTTCGTTTGTGTCTTTGGGGGACGTTAATATTATCTTTTTTTAGGTCGGAGTTGAAGGTAAAAGAACTGGAATCAAAACTAGAGTTAGAACAGACCACGAGATCTAGACTAGAGGTCCAAATAACAAGACTGAAGGAAGCTGTTGATAAAGCACAGAATGACACTGCACAGACTAGGGTGAAAGAACAGCAAGCTCAGGATCAAATAAGGAAGTTGCAGAGACAACTAAGGTAAGTAAGAAAATATGTGCGTTATTTGCCTGAAAATCAGCAGTATCTACAAACCTTCGAGAAAATTTTCCTTTCATTTACAGCTTATTATAAATGATGTCTCAATAGATAGTTCGATATGAGAGTTTGTTGTGTTGTGTATTAATGATTCGTCTTTCATATTGCGTTGCAGGGAAATAAAAGAAGAACTAAATAAAAGCTTGGCCAAGGAGTCAGAGGTGATTCTGAAGAAGAAAGAACTGGAAAAACGTTGTGAGGTTTTAGAAACAGAAAGTGCTACTGCCAGAACAGACCTAAGATTGGCATTGAAAAGGATAGAGGACCTGCAATCTGCCATCCAGGGAGATTTAGAAGATACCATATCAGATAATTCAGACAGGTTAGCATGTTCCGTCAAGATGTCAAGTTTTTTTCGATTGACAAATAAAAAGCTTATGCATATGAAAACACACCGCAACAGTTAGTCGGCCAGTTCCCAAATCAAGAGTTTACCAGAAATAAATCATTGTGTCTAATTGCGAAAGCACTGAAAGCTTCCAAAATATTGAGTTTTTAGAAACGTTTATTTTTTGTGTATTTATTAATTTCCAATGTTGAACTATATTTTTTTCAGTGATCCAGACACCTATAGCTCAGACGAGTCAGTCAACACATTTATGTCGAACCACAAGCTGTCATCTCCAAAAAGTGAGAAGAACCCTATGAGTGGAAGGTATGTTATTTTGCAGTAGGGAACACAGATTTTCATTCTATTCAATTTCTACAAATTTTAAAGTAGATTTTTCTCATTTCATTCTATGGATAAGCTTAGGACCGTAGGTCCATCTGCGGGACTTCTGAGTTCATACTTGATGGACAGAAGGTTGTTGAATATGGTGGTTATACGTCGAGCTATTATCAGGCCACATCCGGGGTGCCTCAAGGATCGAATCTAGGCCCATTATTGTTCCTGATCTTCATTAAAGATTTGTCTCTTGAGCTCAAGTGTTTGCATCTGTTTTTCGCTGACGACGTTAAGATTTACGCATCGGTCGAGTCAATTGATGATTACCTCATGCCGCAGGATAATGTAGAGTTCATTTCTTCATGGTGCTCGCGAAACTGTCTTAGTTTAAATGTTTCTAAATGTATAGTTGTGTCTTATACAAGAAAGGCTAATTATTTAATATGTGATGACCATAATATCAACGGTCAGGTTCTAGACAGATGCTACTCTTTTAAGGAAATTGGAGTAACATTTGATAGCAGGCTAACGTTTAGCGAACATATACTTATTACTTGGCTTCTGTATCAGAAACTGGAAGGGGTTCTCCAATGTCAGTACTTTAACGACTTTGTTCGTTACTTTTGTCAGAAGCCAGCTGGAATCTGCAACCCTGATCTGGTCTCCAATATACCGGGTGCGCCAGAGAAACTTACTTATTTGAAAAAATTCCCGCGCGGTGAGCTGGGCGGGTAGAGGGGCGAGAGGCGGCGCATCTGGAGGGGGAAGTTCCCAAGTTTATTTCTCGCTCCAGTCAGTTGCCATCATGCTCTGGTCTAGAGAACAGCGGGCCTTCGCAGTCGAGAGCTTCTTTTCTAACGGTCGCTCAGTTGTTGCTACGCAACGTGCCTTCCGCGCTCGCTTTGAAATTCCTCCTCACAGACTCGTTCCTGGCCGTAATTCGATTCTGTCGTGGGTTGACTCATTTCGGGAGTGTGGAAGTGTCGCTAAACCCAGAAATGGACTTCAACGGACCATCAGAACTCCGGAAAATGTCGAAAGAGTGAGGCAGTCAGTTGTGCGTTCTCCCCGGCGTTCGGCTCGCAAACACGCAGCTGCTATGGGAATTTCTGACACTACTGTTCGACGAATTCTCCATGAAGACCTCCATTTTCATCCCTATAAATTGGCTGTTGTTCAAGAATTAACTGAAAGTGATTTTGTTGCCCGTCAAAATGCATGTGAAATGCTGGTTGACAACCTGCCTGAAGACGCGGTCGTTTTTTTCAGTGACGAGGCTCACTTCCACATTTCCGGCTGCGTCAACAAGCAAAACATGCGTTATTGGTCTGGTGTGAATCCACGTGAGCTTCACCAGAAGCCACTTAACTGTGAGCGAGTTATAGTCTGGTGTGCGATGTCGGTAATGGGAATAATTGGTCCTTATTTTTTTGAAGAAAACGGACGCGCAGTTACCGTGAATGGAGCTCGTTACAGGAACATGATCGAGGAATTTTTTCTTCCGAGACTCGAAGAAATGAACGTTAGGAACGTGTGGTTTCAGCAAGATGGAGCCACAGCACACACCGCACGAGACTCGATGAATTTGTTGCGACAACATTTCCCCGACCGCCTCATCTCTCTCAGAGGCGATCTCCAATGGCCGGCACGATCTCCAGATTTGACTCCCTGCGATTTCTTTTTATGGGGTTATTTGAAATCTCTGGTTTATGTCGATCGACCACGGACCATAGCACACCTCAAGAACAACATTCGCGACGCCATTGCCAACATACCGATTGATATGCTGCAAAGAGTGGATACGAATTTCAAAAATCGACTTCATCAGTGTATGCGCAATGGAGGTCGCCATTTATCCGATGTCATTTTCAAGACTACATGAAAAAAAAATTGGGATATTGTATTCTCGAATAAAAAAAAAAAATAAAACAATAATTGAAGTAATTTTGTTTTTATTGACCTTTCAAATAAGTAAGTTTCTCTGGCGCACCCTGTACCAAAATTCACTTTCAATGATTGAAGGCATTCAACGTAAGGCTATTAAGTATTTTTACCAGAAATGTACTAGTTCTTAACCAGAAAGAGGTTTCTGTCATCATACCCTTTTGAGTTTTTTGGATTTAGATTCACTATCAATTAGACGTAATATATTTGCCTTATCGTTTTTATATGGCCTTATGTACAATCAAATTGACTGTCCGGATAGGAAATATAAAATATAAATAAATAAATAAATAGAAGTATATAGACAGGGCATTATGTACGAGTATATTATACCTCCTACCGGCCCTGGGATCCTGGTAGTAAATTATAGCCGTTCATTTTAACTGTTTTGCCAAATGAGTAATTTTATGCCTCTAAAGATGATTCTGAATCAAGATCGCAGAAACCACGAGAAATGTGCACGTCAATAATTTAAATTTCCCGCCAAATCGATAATAGGAGCAGCGCGTTTCTGCGATCCTATCACCAAATATTTAATCATTCTTTCTGCCTATTTTACAGAAAAGATGGTCAAATGTTCAATTTTCTGCCTCTAAAAATTCTGTATCAGGATGGCAGAAACGGCAAAAGGTGTGCTAGTCAATGTTTTGAATTTCCCCGCCAACATCTCCGGGAACAGATCACCATTTCTTATACCTCCTTGCGTTGCTGTCATCCTGGTAGCAAATCTTCACCCATTCATATGATTTTCCAGGGGAGGTGGTTAGTGCTATTTTCTGCCTCCAAAAATTCTGTATCCGGATCGCAGAAATGACAAGCGAAGTAGATTTGAATTTTCCGCTGCTAGGAGCAACATACGTTTCGTATCACATTGCTCGCATTGCTGTGATCCTGATAGCAAATTTTAATGCATTCATTTTGACGATTTTGGAAGAAAAGTCAGATATGAGATTTTCTGCCTCTAAAAATTCTGTATCAGGATCGCAGAAACGGCAAAAGGTGTGCTAGTCAATGTTTTGAATTTCCCCGCCAACATCTCCGGGAGCAGATCACCATTTCTTATACCACCTTGCGTTTCTCTGATCCTGGTAGCAAATCTTCACCCATTCATATGATTTTCCAGGGGAGGTGGTTAGTGCTATTATCTGCCTACAAAAAGTCTGTATCCGGATCGCAGAAATGACAAGCGATATCCACGTAGTAAATTTGAATTTTCCGCTGCTAGGAGCAACATACGTTTCGTATACCTCCTCGCATTGCTGTAATCCTGATAGCAAATTTTAATGCATTCATTTTGACGATTTTGGAAGAAAAATCAGATGTGAGATTTTCTACCTCCAAAAATTATTTATCAGGATAGCAGAAATCCTCACATTTATATGATCCTAGTAGAAAATGTTATCCTTCATTCTACAAAAGGTTTACCATTTTTACGTAATTTGGACATATTGCGGTAGTGAAATTTATGCACCGGCTCTCTTTTTGATTCGTACTGTCTACCCTCAACAATGGTCTGTTCATGTTTGTATGTACAGCGCAGTCTCAATGGATATACCGTCACATAGTTTTGGGCATTCCATTTCAGTGAATACAGCGCATAGAAAAACAAATTGTCAACATTCTGAACAATGCAGATGAACAGGGACTCCTACCTTAGGTTTTAAGATTTCTATCTTGTTTTCTCAGACACGTCATCTGGTGTATGGTATCATTGTTTTGATTTCCAACATATCTATCAGGAACAGATCACCATTTCTCATACCGCCTTGCGTGTCGGTTATCCTGGTAACAAATTTTCGCTCATTCGTATGATTTTTCAATGGAAGCAGTGGGATTTTCTGCCTCTAAAAATTCTGTATCAAGATCGCAGAAACGGCAAGAGGTATCGACGTCGCAAATTTGAATTTTCCAAAAATATCAGTGTCGTTTACATTTCGTATACCTCATCGCGTCTCCATGATCCTGGTAGCACTGTCGTGCGCTTTCATTTGACTATTTAATAAGGAAGGTGGTGAGATATACTATTGTCTGCCTTTAAAAAGTCTTCATCAGGATCGCAGAAATGGCTTGACATGTGCACATCACTAACCTAAACCCTATATCTTCTCGCGCTCATGTGAACCTGGTAGCAAACATTTACGCAGTTATTTTGACTATTTTGCACGGACGATTGCCATCAGATTCTTGCCCATTTTATTGTATCGAGTAGAAAATAAAAACTCAGCACACCTCTTAGGGTACTTATACACCTGCGAACCTGTCGCGAGCGCCAGTGGATACGTCCCTTTAGGAGACCTCCTTTGACCATGAAGTTGTTGGTTCACGCAACAAGTTTTTGGTTGAAATGAAACACTTTTTCATTTCAGGACTTCCTGTACTACAAGTCGATCGAGTACCTCAAGCAACTTGGCCAAGGACGCAACGTCATACACCTGAGTGGCGGCGAATATCTGCAGAACAATATCGATGACTTTCTGCAGGCAAGAAACCGGTGATGTAGACAGTGTTATAGCTGAATACGTATAACCTTAGCGTGTGTCCTTATTTACAAAGCTAGTCTAAAAGGTTATCGAGCAATAATTTAGAAATCGCGGTGTTGTCACGATATGTCGGATTCCGTATAGGTCACCACTCAAGTTTTAAGTGGTGTTATAGTGACATCTGGCTTTCTGTTAGACCGCATATGTACAGGCTGTATTACTTAATGATACGCCGTAATTGCAAGGACGCATTCCCCCATTTTTTATTAACATCTCAAAGATCTTTGTGCCGATTTTGTTGAATTTTCGCAGTGTTGTTCATTTCAATAAGACGCTGAGTTAGCACTAAATAGGAGATAAGTATCATTTCCAATGGCGTCTCGAGGGAAATTCTCACGGATAATACTAACAAAAATGTACGACACTACATTTCTAAAATACTGAGTTTTTTGGGTCAATTAATTAAATAATTGAAAAAAATAATGGTAGTCTCCAACTTTTTTGTAAATACTTATTCTATTTCTTCATTTTAAAAAATGGCTAATAAGTGAGCATTACGCATCGATCAAATCATATTTATTTCATATTAACAATTTTTCGACATGTTATGTAATCGTTTTTATTTTCTCTTCGAAAACGAAGCAAGATTCGAAGGTATACCGAGATAAAAAAAGTTGTATTTTAAAAATATATATTTTATAATTTTTATTATTCATGAGACAGCCCTCTGACTCGCCATTGGAATTGATAATTATCCTCTAAATGATGCAAACTTCGTATTGCAATGAATAATACTGCCGAAATTCAACAAAATCGGCACAAAAATCTTCGAGATATTATTAAAAATTAAGATATTTTTTAAAATCTTGGAAACCAAACTTTTTAGGGCAAATGAACTTTTCTACTTGTATTTGGTTCAGGAATGTGCCCTTGTAATTACGACCTATGATTAAGTAACACCATGTACAGTTGCGAGCCTTTTTACTGTCTAACTCGCTGATAATTTGAAAAATAAGTATCTTCTGAGCCACTTCTTTCAAACGATCTTTATATTTAGCAATATAGCAGTTTTTATAGTAAATTTATGATAATTCATCATTCAATATTCGCATTTGGATTATAGTGACAGCACAGTACATAATTTTATTTATCCGTTCCAAACGCGAATTTTTAGGGCACTAGATTTTCCCATGCTTTGTGTTTAAGGGCATGAAGATGATGTTGATTTTATGATAAGACTGAGGGTATTAAGGAAATTATTTTAACTTATTGTTGGTTTGTTGTACTTATTTAAACCTCCATCATTTATAGCTGCTATGTTGATCAACTGCCAACTTAACGAATATTGCAATTTTTGTATGTTTTGAGTGTTGATGGAAATATAAACAGTATTAAAACTCTTGATATTCTGAAAGATGTATGTCTGCTACAACTCAAGAATATTTTTCGCATATCGTAATTTTTAGTATCATCGAAAAATCATTTTTGAAACTTGAGTAATACATCGCAAAACTCTTCGCTCAACATATTTTCTTTTTTTTTCAAAATATCTTGATTGTCCAATCATGAACAGAGTCTTGAGCTAAATAGAATGTTAAGACCGGATGATAAAGCTTATAAATAGTTTCTATATTTTCCATTATGCCATTCATATTAGTATAAATGATGGAGTTTTTAGAGATCAAAATTCATTTATTAAGCTAGAAAGTATAATATATTGTTATTTTTACTATTTTATAAATGTAAATAAGCTTCCTTCATGTAATTAATTATTTGTACCATATGTCTTTAGAAGTGTACCATTTCTTACATATTTAATTTTTATAAAATCATTGTACCTATTTAGAAATCTACCATATTATCTGTAATATATTAATGTTGTGAGCAATTTTTTGTTTAATTCCCACCGATTTCGTATGAGGAACAGATGACTTATTCCATATCTCCTCATCTTTCTGTGATCCTGGCAGTTAGCTTTCACATTTTAACTATTTTTAAAAAAAGATATCATTTTTTGCTTTACAAATTTTGTATCAGAGTCGGTGATCCTGCTATCAAATTTTTACCCATTCATTTCGATATTTTTGCAAGGACATTGGTCAGATGTCAGATTTTCTGCATCTGAAAATTCTGTATCTCGATTGCAGAAACGGCAAGAGCAAGGTTGTAAATTTGAATTTACGTGTTAGAATACATTCCACGCGTTCCTGTGATCCTTGTAGCAAATGTTTGTTTTATTTTCCAAAGGAGGCGGTCAGGTGCGAATGTCACTTTAAAGATCCTGTAGCAGGGTTGCAGAAATAGCAAAAGCTATCAGCGTCGCAAATTTGAGTTTCCAGTCAATTTCGTATCAGCAGCACCATACGTTTCGTATACCTCCTCACGTTTCTGTGATCCTGCTACCAAATGTTTACCCACCCATTACTATATTTTTGCAAGGGAAGTGAACAGATTATATTTTCTGCGTTTCAAAATTATGTATTAGGATCGCAGAAACGACAAGAGGAAGGTTGTAAATCTGAATTTACCGCCAATTTCGTATCGGAAAATACAGCCACGCGTTTCTGTAATCCTGGTAGCAATTTCATACCCTTTCATTTTGACAATCTGCAAGGAACTTGGCCAGATGAGTGCGATGATCAGGAGCTGAACATTTTGTATCAGGATCGCAGAAGTGGCGAGAGGTGTGCATGTCGGTAATTTGATTTTCCCGCCAATTTAATATCAGGAGCAAGGCACCGCTTCATATGCCTCCTCGCGTTTCTGTGATCCTGGTAGCAATTTCATACCCTTTCATTTTGACAATCTGCAAGGAACTAGGCCAGATGAGTGCGATGATCAGGAGCTGAACATTTTGTATCAGGATCGCAGAAGTGGCGAGAGGTGTGCATGTCGGTAATTTGATTTTCCCGCCAATTTAATATCAGGAACAAAGCACCGTTTCATATACCTCCTCGCGTTTCTGCGATCCTGGTAGCAATTTCATACCCTTTCATTTTGACAATCTGCAAGGAACTGGGCCAGATGAGTGCGATGATCAGAAGTTGAACATTTTGTATCAGGATCGCAGAAGTGGCGAGAGGTGTGGATGTCGGTAATTTGATTTTCCCGCCAATTTAATATCAGGAACAAAGCACCGTTTCATATACCTCCTCGCGTTTCTGTGATCCTGGTAGCAATTTCATACCCTTTCATTTTGACAATCTGCAAGGAACTGGGCCAGATGAGTGCGATGATCAGAAGTTGAACATTTTGTATCAGGATCGCAGAAGTGGCGAGAGGTGTGGATGCCGATAATTTGAATTTTCCGCCAATTTAATATCAGGAACAAAGCACCGTTTCATATACCTCCTCGCGTTTCTGTGATCCTGGTAGCAATTTCATACCCTTTTATTTTGACAATCTGCAAGGAACTAGGCCAGATGAGTGCGATGATCAGGAGCTGAACATTTTGTATCAGGATCGCAGAAGTGGCGAGAGGTGTGCATGTCGGTAATTTGGTTTTCCCGCCAATTTAATATCAGGAACAAATCACCGTTTCATATACCTCCTCGCGTTTCTGTGATCCTGGTAGCAATTTCATACCCTTTCATTTTGACAATCTGCAAGGAACTGGGCCAGATGAGTGCGATGATCAGAAGTTGAACATTTTGTATCAGGATCGCAGAAGTGGCGAGAGGTGTGGATGCCGATAATTTGAATTTTCCGCCAATTTAATATCAGGAACAAAGCACCGTTTCATATACCTCCTCGCGTTTCTGTGATCCTGGTAGCAATTTCATACCCTTTTATTTTGACAATCTGCAAGGAACTGGGGCAGATGAGTGCGATGATCAGAAGTTGAACATTTTGTATCAGGATCGCAGAAGTGGCGAGAGGTGTGGATGTCGGTAATTTGATTTTCCCGCCAATTTAATATCAGGAACAAAGCACCGTTTCATATACCTCCTCGCGTTTCTGTGATCCTGGTAGCAATTTCATACCCTTTTATTTTGACAATCTGCAAGGAACTGGGGCAGATGAGTGCGATGATCAGAAGTTGAACATTTTGTATCAGGATCGCAGAAGTGGCGAGAGGTGTGGATGTCGGTAATTTGATTTTCCCGCCAATTTAATATCAGGAACAAAGCACCGTTTCATATACCTCCTCGCGTTTCTGTGATCCTGGTAGCAATTTCATACCCTTTCATTTTGACAATCTGCAAGGAACTGGGCCAGATGAGTGCGATGATCAGGAGCTGAACATTTTGTATCAGGATCGCAGAAGTGGCGAGAGGTGTGCATGTCGGTAATTTGATTTTCCCGCCAATTTAATATCAGGAGCAAAGCACCGCTTCATATACCTCCTCGCGTTTCTGTGATCCTGGTAGCAATTTCATACCCTTTCATTTTGACAATCTGCAAGGAACTAGGCCAGATGAGTGCGATGATCAGGAGCTGAACATTTTGTATCAGGATCGCAGAAGTGGCGAGAGGTGTGCATGTCGGTAATTTGATTTTCCCGCCAATTTAATATCAGGAACAAAGCACCGTTTCATATACCTCCTCGCGTTTCTGCGATCCTGGTAGCAATTTCATACCCTTTCATTTTGACAATCTGCAAGGAACTGGGCCAGATGAGTGCGATGATCAGAAGTTGAACATTTTGTATCAGGATCGCAGAAGTGGCGAGAGGTGTGGATGTCGGTAATTTGATTTTCCCGCCAATTTAATATCAGGAACAAAGCACCGTTTCATATACCTCCTCGCGTTTCTGTGATCCTGGTAGCAATTTCATACCCTTTCATTTTGACAATCTGCAAGGAACTGGGCCAGATGAGTGCGATGATCAGAAGTTGAACATTTTGTATCAGGATCGCAGAAGTGGCGAGAGGTGTGGATGCCGATAATTTGAATTTTCCGCCAATTTAATATCAGGAACAAAGCACCGTTTCATATACCTCCTCGCGTTTCTGTGATCCTGGTAGCAATTTCATACCCTTTTATTTTGACAATCTGCAAGGAACTAGGCCAGATGAGTGCGATGATCAGGAGCTGAACATTTTGTATCAGGATCGCAGAAGTGGCGAGAGGTGTGCATGTCGGTAATTTGGTTTTCCCGCCAATTTAATATCAGGAACAAATCACCGTTTCATATACCTCCTCGCGTTTCTGTGATCCTGGTAGCAATTTCATACCCTTTCATTTTGACAATCTGCAAGGAACTGGGCCAGATGAGTGCGATGATCAGAAGTTGAACATTTTGTATCAGGATCGCAGAAGTGGCGAGAGGTGTGGATGCCGATAATTTGAATTTTCCGCCAATTTAATATCAGGAACAAAGCACCGTTTCATATACCTCCTCGCGTTTCTGTGATCCTGGTAGCAATTTCATACCCTTTTATTTTGACAATCTGCAAGGAACTGGGGCAGATGAGTGCGATGATCAGAAGTTGAACATTTTGTATCAGGATCGCAGAAGTGGCGAGAGGTGTGGATGTCGGTAATTTGATTTTCCCGCCAATTTAATATCAGGAACAAAGCACCGTTTCATATACCTCCTCGCGTTTCTGTGATCCTGGTAGCAATTTCATACCCTTTTATTTTGACAATCTGCAAGGAACTGGGCAGATGAGTGCGATGATCAGAAGTTGAACATTTTGTATCAGGATCGCAGAAGTGGCGAGAGGTGTGGATGTCGGTAATTTGATTTTCCCGCCAATTTAATATCAGGAACAAAGCACCGTTTCATATACCTCCTCGCGTTTCTGTGATCCTGGTAGCAATTTCATACCCTTTCATTTTGACAATCTGCAAGGAACTGGGCCAGATGAGTGCGATGATCAGGAGCTGAACATTTTGTATCAGGATCGCAGAAGTGGCGAGAGGTGTGCATGTCGGTAATTTGATTTTCCCGCCAATTTAATATCAGGAGCAAAGCACCGCTTCATATACCTCCTCGCGTTTCTGTGATCCTGGTAGCAATTTCATACCCTTTCATTTTGACAATCTGCAAGGAACTAGGCCAGATGAGTGCGATGATCAGGAGCTGAACATTTTGTATCAGGATCGCAGAAGTGGCGAGAGGTGTGCATGTCGGTAATTTGATTTTCCCGCCAATTTAATATCAGGAACAAAGCACCGTTTCATATACCTCCTCGCGTTTCTGCGATCCTGGTAGCAATTTCATACCCTTTCATTTTGACAATCTGCAAGGAACTGGGCCAGATGAGTGCGATGATCAGAAGTTGAACATTTTGTATCAGGATCGCAGAAGTGGCGAGAGGTGTGGATGTCGGTAATTTGATTTTCCCGCCAATTTAATATCAGGAACAAAGCACCGTTTCATATACCTCCTCGCGTTTCTGTGATCCTGGTAGCAATTTCATACCCTTTCATTTTGACAATCTGCAAGGAACTGGGCCAGATGAGTGCGATGATCAGAAGTTGAACATTTTGTATCAGGATCGCAGAAGTGGCGAGAGGTGTGGATGCCGATAATTTGAATTTTCCGCCAATTTAATATCAGGAACAAAGCACCGTTTCATATACCTCCTCGCGTTTCTGTGATCCTGGTAGCAATTTCATACCCTTTTATTTTGACAATCTGCAAGGAACTAGGCCAGATGAGTGCGATGATCAGGAGCTGAACATTTTGTATCAGGATCGCAGAAGTGGCGAGAGGTGTGCATGTCGGTAATTTGATTTTCCCGCCAATTTAATATCAGGAACAAATCACCGTTTCATATACCTCCTCGCGTTTCTGTGATCCTGGTAGCAATTTCATACCCTTTCATTTTGACAATCTGCAAGGAACTGGGCCAGATGAGTGCGATGATCAGAAGTTGAACATTTTGTATCAGGATCGCAGAAGTGGCGAGAGGTGTGGATGCCGATAATTTGAATTTT